AGGTTATATTTATGAAGAAAAATAAGGTATTAGACATAACAATCTTTACTAATTTGGATTTGAGACATAGAGTATTTTCTGTTTTGGTTTTAACACTGAAGAATCAAATTTTATTTGGGATATACCCAAAGAAGAGGCCCAGATTCGTTGGGCCTATGTAAATTATAAAGGTAAAATGAAATTTTACCCTTTTGTTTAAAACCCGATCTTACCCTCTCTCTCTCTCTCTCTCTCTCTCTCTCTCTCTCTCTCTCTCCTCTTCCTTATTCACTCCATCAACGATGACACACTTTCTCTCATCTGCCCTCTTTGCTCCATCGACGACGCGACGATGACCTTTCTTTCTCCTATTCCTTCTTCGCTCAATCAAGAACGACGACACCCGTTCTCTCTCCTCTTCCTTATTTGCTCCATCGAAGATGACACCCTCTCTCTCATCTTCCTTATTTGCTCCATTGACGATGACACCCTCTCTCTCATCTTCCTTCTTCTCACGCGAAGCTCTGTTTTTCGTCTAGTGAGGTATGTGTTTTCTAGATCAGATTCTTATTTAAATTTTGTAGTTATGTTTTGGTTTAAGAAGTTGATTTTGAAGTATTTGATGTAGATTTTGTTCTCATTTTGCCTTTTGTGATAAGATTTGAGTTTGGAAGTGACTTTTTTGTTAGTGATATTATTGCTATTATGGGGATGGATGAGCTTAGTGAAAATGATAAGTGGACAGTCGCCCGTGCCCGTAAAATTCAACGTTTCTTGAGCCAGCCATTCCATGTTGCAGAGGTTTTCACTGGTGCCGTTGGAAAATACGTGGAGTTAAAAGAAAGCATTACCAGCTTCCAGATATCCCTTCATCCTCTCTCCCTTTCTGTTCTGTTTGCATGTTTCCTCATTTCTAATATTGAAGTTTTGTTTATTATTTTCTCAATTACTGGTGGAATTTCTCTCTTGGAGAAACTATTAATTATATAGTTCTGGTTTTCCATGATATTTTACTATAACAATTAATTATGTATGTTTTGAAATGATGGAGTCATTAAAGTATTAACAGGATTATACGTTACAAGTGTAGTGAATCCATGAACTTTATATAAGTACCCCTGCTACCCATATTTCTAGTATTGGACCAGTCAGAGAAGGCAAAACTTCTTTCTTTAACTATACAACAAGATCTTTATTGTCCTACAAACTCCATCTAGTCCTCTCCTTCCAAAGGGAATACTATCTGGAGTAGATATCTACACTATTATTCTGTACTCTGATAGTATATAGGTAACAATTGAATTGTTTCTTAGTTTATGGAGCTGCTTCCTATTGTTGCAGCATTTCTTTTCATAAGGGAAGAATAGAAAATTGTCTAACATGAAATGTAATCATAGATACTTGTTGGACCATCGAATTTATGTATGTTGTAACATCCTGCCCCGAAATTTAATTTAAATTTCAAATTTCAAAAGTGAAAGGACGACTTTAACCTTAGGGTTCTTTGGTATGTGAGAGTTTGTGATCAAATATATGTATGCATGTATGCTAGGCAATAATCTAATTTAGCTGCAACTTCTTATTATAAAGCTCACTTACTATGCATTTGTCTTGATTTGGAAATGGTCACTGTCATATAATATTTTAAGTAACATTTTGCAATACCGTTTAAGCTTTAGTTCAATGAAATTTTGTACAGGTTATGCATTGTAGTTTTGCACAAACAACATTACAGTTTTTGGAAACTGCATTGCAGTTTTCATTTAATTACAGTTGGATTTTTGCCATTTCCTTGGCCTTCAACCTCACCAATTTGAAGAATAGAGGCTACCCATATGAGAAATTGGGTGGGCAAGAGAAAAGTAGAACTACCCAAGAGCAAGGCAACTCAAAATTGGACACTGCCCGATATGAAGCTCTTCTAAAAAATGGTGACCAAGTCACTTTTGTTCTTGAAGAGATGATCACCCTTGTAAGTTTTTGCTCCTCTCTCTCTCTCTCTCTCTCTCTCTCTCTCTCTCTCTGTAGATTGGTTGCAGAGAAATTGGTAGAGAAGGAAATGATGGATAATTTAGTTTAAGGCATAGTTGAGTCAAATTTTATATTAATTTCAGTTCATTTAAATACCTATTCTAAATGTGGAATTCATATGGTTTTCATCAATATGATGACATATATTGCTATGTATTAATTGCCCTATTGTCTAATTTTACTGAAATTGGATTATCAAGCTGTTTACTATCTAGAAGTTGCTTGCGTTTCGTCTGCATATATCTCTTTTTGCTCTTTGTTTCAAAATCACGAGCCAACTAATGCTTTCGTCTGCATATATATCTTTTTGCTCTTTGTAGAAAACGGAAACTGCATTGCAGAAAATGGAAACTACATTGCAAAAAACGGAACCTACAATGCAAAAAATAGAAACATGAATAACCTATTTTACATTGTAGGTGGTCTTCAGTATGATTCCCCCTCTCCTAACATGTCTTGAATTAAAAGAAAATTATTTTGTTTTGTTTAACTCTAGAGCTGAGCATTTTTGCCCAGACTTAGCATTGCAGTTTCCATTTTGTATTGTAGTTTCCGTTTATGCATTACAATTTCCGTTTCAGCATTGCAGTTTCCGCTTCTACATTGTAGGTTTCGTTTCTGCATCGCAGTTTCCATTTTAGTACTTTCATCTTGGTTTTTCATTTGGTTCATCACTTATTAATATATTTATTTTTCCTCACACTCTGGAGTGTAGTTTGCAGTTTGCAGTTTGCAGTTTTTATTTATTTACATCATTGATATCTACCTTATTTTTGTTTTGAAATCCCACTTAAATATGAGAAGTTTTGGTTTTTCTAGAAACTGTAGTGCATTTTTCGATCTTCTTCTATTGCAGTATTCATGTTTTGATGTGAAGGTCAGTTTTTCTATTGTTGAGGTATGTATATTTGTGATCAAATTCTTATTTGAATTTTCTAGTTATTTTTTGCTTTTTATAAGTTGATTTTTCTACTCTTTGATGTAATTTTTATTTTTTACTTTGGCTTTTTTTTATTTATCAGATTTGGTTTGAGGTGCTATTTGGTTAGAGATTTTTGTATAATTTTCTAGTACTTTCATCATGTTTATTTTTTTCCCCATACTCTGCAGTGCAATTTTTGCTACTATAAAATTAATTTTTATTTTTGTTGCTATTTTTATTTTTTTAAATTTACATAATTGATATCTACATTGTATTTTTGTTTCAATTTTTGTTTTTATTTGCAGTTTTTGCGTGAATATGTGTTGAAATGATATATATATATATATATTTATAACCGTTGGTTGTTTATATAAATATTGTATAACTGAATAAATATTACAAAATCAAGTTTAGTGTAGTGGTTTGTGAGTGAGCCCTCCTCCTTTAAGGGTCAAGGTTTGAATTGAAATAAATCAATTACAATAAACATGAAAATCTTTGGTGTGAAAAGAAAGTCAATAATCCACAGGTCATGCCAACAATTTTTTTGTTAGTTGAAATTTTCAAACAAAATATATATGGATTATGGAGGAATTACAATGACAATTTGGAAAGTGTGTAACTTTATATAATTCAAAGGTTACAGAAAGATAACCAATAGGTGGGCCCAAAAAAAAAAAAAAGATAACCCATGGAAGTGCTGGATGCAAAATATAAAAATTAGTGAGGCCCAAAAAAAAAGAAAAAAAAAAGAAGGATCTGAGGGCAGAAATTACATTTGTAGAAGAAGATTAGCCATTATGCATATTTAAGAAATGGTTAAATATGAGTAAGTGTAGATAATGTTTAACAGATCAGAGTGGCGCAGCGGAAGCGTGGTGGGCCCATAACCCACAGGTCCCAGGATCGAAACCTGGCTCTGATATAGGAGAAGGCTTCCAAACGCTCTTTTTTTGTCTTTTTTGTTTTTGGATTTTTGGGCTTGCTATTGGACCTTTTTGCTTATAATTTACTCACTATTGGGCTTCTAGTCCGTTCACTATTAATAATAATAAACCCAATACTTCACCAGCATCGGTCATATTGTTTTCTTTTGTTGTTATTTTTTTTTTCTTTCCAATTTTTAGTTTCTCCTCTAACATTACTTAAAAGGAAAAAATAAAATAGGCAAAGTAAATTTTAAAAATAAAAATTTGTTTAGGAAATGAAGAATCTATTCAGTTCTTTTCGTACTATTCGTATACGTATGCTCACTTTATCTGTAATCAGACGATGCATCTTGTTGCTAAGAATGTGCTTGTGTGTCTCAATTTTCATGTTAGGATAGAAGAAGGCCTATCCAATGTGTTTAACTTATGATTCCTAATTGAATGAAGTGTCTTTTGAACAAAGAAAAAAAAAACCAAACGTCTTGCCCTTAAATTGCCCAAATAAAAAAATTCAAGTTCTAAATCACCTCCTTTCCTTTTCTCTTGTATCATGAGTAGAGAAAACAATGACTTTTTCCCCATGCTTATTCACACCCACCCTTAGCAAGCAAACCACGTGGCAAAGTGTAGGTGCTTGACTTTGTTGTGGGGCTATTTTGGTTGTGGTTATTATTATTATTATTATTTTTCAAATATAAATAATAAAAAATTATTTTTGTGGTCTGCGTGGTTCATAAGTCACAGACCTCTTATGTCATGACAGGAATAGGATGAGAAAATTTATAACACACATACATAAACAAAACATTTTCCAAAGCACCACCAAAGAAAAGCATAAACGTAAATATTAAACATTTATTTAAGGACAATCATGCAGATAAAATAAAATAAAATAAAAAGTCACAAGCACTAGGCTCCGAATCTTATTAGGTAGTTTGTCGAAACACCCATCAAAACAAATAATACCATTAGGAGCATCGTTGTCACATATCTACAGATAACATATATAATCACAATTACATAATTAGACAATTATTTATGGGGTAATATAATAACAAGAAAATATGTTCTGCCGACACTTACTTGCCCAATTCACAACTGGTGGTGGCTAAAAAACAAAGTGTCAAGTGGGGGCATGCATAGCTTCTCATTGGTCGTTGAGTGCAAAAAGAAAAAGAAAAAGAAAGCTTCACTACACTTGCCATCCTTGTTTTGCTTACATATGGAGAGAGAGAGAGAGACACAGCAGAGAGAAACAAACAGTGATTTATGGTGGCATTTGATACAATCTTGACTCTTCTTTATCACCATCTCATCTGTTGAAGTAGTTCAATTGTGAAAATTCCATAAAGGGTTTTCAATTTTGTTCATTTTTCTTTCTAATACACAGTTCAATTGGTCAACTTCTTCACTTTAGCATGGAAACCAGTTCATATCTTTCCAACCCTTTTCTGGGTTTCAGAGAACTTGCTCAAAGTCTGAAGCTCTGGTGAAATTCCATTCAATTTTTAGTGTTTTCTTGCTCCATCAACTAGTTTGTGAACTTGGTAATTTCCAAATTTGTGTTTTAAGTTTTTGGCACAGAGCCTTGTCTTGTAATTCCAATCCTGCATAGTTACTACTAGGAAATGCTGCATTCAACAAAATCTGAGTCTGATGTCACAAGCTTAGCTCCATCATCACCATCAAGGTCCCCAAAGGTACCTGTATACTATGTGCAGAGCCCTTCTAGGGACTCTCATGATGGAGACAAGTCCTCATCAATGCAGGCCACTCCAATCTACAACAACAGTCCCATGGAGTCACCCTCACACCCCTCCTTTGGCCGCCACTCAAGGAACTCCTCCGCGAGTCGATTCTCGGGGATTTTCAGGTCCTCTTCGGGTAGAAAAGGCGGTAGGAAGCAGAGGAATGACAAGGGATGGCCAGAGTGTAAGGTGATTATGGAAGAAGGGGCTTATGATGATTTTGATAAGGGGCTCTCGCGGCGTGTGCAGGTCTGCATTGCTCTCCTTAGCTTTGTGATGTTGTTCACTATCTTCTGCTTGATCATATGGGGTGCAAGCAGGCCTTACAATGCAACGGTTGTAGTCAAGGTATGCTAATTTTACAACTTGTCATTGTCTAATATTTGTTCCAAATTTTCTATAGTATATATGTCTTTATCATCATTTGATACTGAATTTTGTCTTAAGTTCTTATTCTGATGTTGAACAATGTGTTCCTTAGCCTTTTATAGTGTGAGACATGATGAAAAATGATTATTTGTAGAAATTGGACTTGTTGGTTTTCTATTTTCAAAATGCCCTTTATGATAAGTTGGTGTATTACGCAAAAAAAGAAAAGTGTGTGGGGGTTCTAATTCAAGGATAATGTAACATGAAGTGGGAATTTTGCTGTTGCAAACAGGATGAGATTGTTTTGGCCTAACGGAGGACTTGTGATTCTTGCAGAGCTTGGAAATTAGCAACTTCTATATTGGTGAGGGTTCAGATTTCAGTGGGGTTCCAACAAAGCTGTTGACAGTGAATGGCTCATTAAGATTGAGTGTGCACAACTCTGCTTCAATGTTTGGAATTCATGTTAGCTCCGCACCTATCATTCTCGCCTACTCAGAGATTTCTGTGGCAACTGGCCAGGTTGGATTCTGTGCTCCATGAATACCATTTTCATCTCTAAGAAAATTGGTGATCAATCTGCTTAATCTTAAGGGTAAACTACCATTTTGGTTTCTGTTTCTCGACATTTGGGTTCCTGAAGTTTCAATTTGCCAATTTGCAAGGGACCTAAATGGTTTTCAGGTCAGAACACAGGAACCAAAATCGTAATTTACACCAGGAAGATGCTATGTTAACAAACAATGAAAGTTGTAGCATGTTGCACAAAATAGGCAAAAGAGCAAAGCATATTGAACCAACCCAATAAAGATCAATGGCTGTTCCATTGCCATTGGAACCTCATGGTAAGTTTTAACTTTTGCCGACTTTGTTGTTGCAGTTGAAGAAATATTATCAGCCAAGAAAGAGTCTCCGAACGGTATCAGTGAACTTGCAAGGAACTAAGGTTCCTCTATACGGGGCTGGATCAAGTTTGACATACACAAAGACTGGTGGGTTGGTTCCAATTCCATTGACCTTAAAGTTAGAAATCCGGTCTCGAGCGTTTGTGGTAGGGAAGCTAGTGAAAACGAAGCATCGAAGGCGAATCTCGTGCCCTTTGGTTCTGGATCCCACTGTTACCAAACCCATCAAGTTCAAGAAGAGTTCATGCACTTATGAGTGATGTCCTTTAGCATTGAGGTGCATACTTGCAGTATCTGTTACTCGTTGCTTGTGAAATTTCATGGAGCTCAGAGTACTGCAATTTGAGTTGAGTTGCTCATTTTCGACAAGTTAAAATCTTCGCTTTCTTTTATGGCCTGATTAAAATCCCCACTTTGACAATTCCCGGCACTGGTTTAGTTGTGATCCTCTTTGAGGATTGTGCAAATGAATGTAAATAAGTTTGAATTTGTGTTATGCATGTTGTATTGTATGAACGATTTCAACGACAATGACGTTTTGGATGTGCAGCACAATGTTCTGAGTCATATAATTGGAGGGTCAAATCCTCTGCTCACCTCTTCTAACTGATATCTTACTTTACAAGTCTTTTAACACCAAATCATAATCTCTAGCCGCTAAACCTTAAAGCAATCTCCTTTTAGACATAAGTACAATATTAATATGAGAATAGAAAAAGAAAACTGTTATTAGTACTTCAAAATAAATAGAATACTTTAGGTTGCAAATAACATCTCTTAACATAAACGGAATATCGTAATTTCAACGTTAATGATCACCGGTAATCTAGTATGTATTCTCACATTTGCTTAAAATGGTGAGCAAAAATATTTCCTTTCGAAAACGATCTGAAGTTCCAGCATTTATTATTAATTTTGTGATTGCACTCAAATTTATCTACAAGAAGTGAATCGATGGAAGGGAAACTCGTTATGGCAACAATTTCATAATGAGTTTGCCATGGTCAACCTTATTTTGTACCTGAAAACATGGTTCGTAGTGGCTACCACGATAAGGATGTACAAGAAGCAATAAGAAATAGTTCGTGCATGTTATATTCAAAATAAAATTTCAATAAAAAGAGAATATTTGAGATTTTCTAAAATAACTAAAAATTGACAATTTCTTTTATTTATTCTAATAATATTACAAAAAGAAAAAAGAAAAATACAAAGGCAACAATTGCATCAATCAAGGCAGTGAAAGGCAGTAGCATCAATCAAGGGAATTGGACATTACCTTTCCATTATATTTGACTGACACTAGAAATTAAAGACCTTCCTTCATTTTCATCTTCATGTTACACAGACCCCCTTCTCAGTTCTCTCTCTGATATAAAGCTTCTCACAAAGACCCTGTCTTTTACACCATAGGTCTCATTCAAGATCCACAAGAACCGCACTTCCCTCTGCAAAATTCTGATAAACCCATTGCTCAACACCATGTTTAGACCAAAACCCACTTCAAGATTGATCCTTTTAACCCTCACCCTTCTCCTATTAGCCAATTTCCTAACTTCCATCAAAGCCTCTGAACCCACCACTGATGAAAATGAAGATGGTGAATTGGAGGAGCTATTGGCATTGGATGAACAAGTGGAACAAGAAGAAGAGCAAGAAGGTTCCAGTGCCAGTGTGAGGTCCTCAGAGGCAGAGGTGTTAACCAAAGCCCAGAGGATTGTTCTTGAGCTTAACCATGACAACACAAAGAGGGTCATTGAAGGGCATGAGTTTGTTCTGGTTCTTGGGTATGCCCCTTGGTGCTCTAGGAGCGCTGAGCTTATGCCTCAGTTTGCTGAGGCTGCAACTTCATTGAAAGAATTGGGAAGCCCCCTTTTGTTGGCTAAGCTTGATGCCGAGCGGCATCCGAAAACGGCGTCGTCTCTTGAGATCAAAGGGTTCCCTACTCTGCTTCTGTTTGTCAATGGCACCTCTCAAGTGTACACTGGTGGCTTTTCTGCGTAAGTAGCTCTCAAATTGGTCAAACTGTTTAATTGAAATATTTTATGTGAATCTTTGTTGTTTTGTGGTCAGTGAGATGATGAAATATAACTCAGCAGAAAATTTCTGTGCTTTATGTGCTTGTTATTGTCCTTATAGTGTGTTTGACTTGAACAATTTTTAATCATTTCTGTGCAGCATGAATATAATGTACGTATGTGTTTGAATATATACATCAACTGAGTTGTGCATTTCCATTAATGTTCTTGTTGGGAAAATTTTGATTCAGGGAAGAAATAGTGATTTGGGCAAGGAAGAAAACTGGTGAACCTGTTATTAGGATAAGCTCAGTGACAGAGGCTGAAGAGTTTCTCAAAAAGCACCATATATTTGTTGTTGGTCTGTTTGAAAAATTTGAGGTTGGTCCACGTTTATTGTTTTCAAAATTTTCTTAGAATGCTACACAAGAAATACTGTCAACCTGATTTTGAATTAGAATGAGGCCTCTGCCTTGATTGAATATTTGTTTGGACAGTATTTATATTCTTGGGCTTATATGTTTGTTCTGAAATTATTCAGGGGCCTGACTACGAAGAATTTGTAAAAGCAGCAGCAGCGGACAATGCAATCCAGTTTGTAGGAGTAAGCAACATCGAGGTTGCTAAAGTTCTCATTCCAAATGTAAAACCGACTAATGTTTTCCTTGGAATTGTGAAAAGTGAGCCAGAAAGATATACTTCATATGGTGAGTTGGTGAATGAGTAAAACTTATCTGTTACCGACACAATTTTTCTCTCAGAAAAGCTTGTTATTTGTAGTTCAATTTTATTCTTGTGCATTTGTGCTTTGTGTAATTTATATCTCCTTTTTTTCCAAGGTGATGAAATTTATTGTTTTCCTGCTTGCTTGTTCAACTTGGTCAATATGTGATTTTTGCTCCTTTTTTTTTTTTTTTTTTAAATGAAGTTTATATTCTGTGAACAATAAGTAGACATATTTTTGAGTTACGGACTTATTCTAACGTATTCATGAATTTGTTTGGTTTTGCAGAAGGGACCTTTGAAACGGACAAAATTTTGCAGTTTCTAGACTATAACAAGCTTCCATTGGTTAACAAACTGACTGAAACAAATTCCGCCAGAGTTTACTCCAGCCCTATTAAACTTCAGGTTTCTGTTTCTTCCAATACATCATATCTTTTTTAATCTTCAATCATAAATTGTATTATTATTATATATATGTCTACATCTTTTTGTTGAATTGTTATATTGTTTTACCATGTACCTTGTTGCAGATGAAAATTTGAAGTCTGGACAGTATTAAACGAAAAAGGTCATTGAAAATAAATAAATAAGAAACAACAATCATGTGTACAATACTCAAAATTGTAAATTGAACTAGTACACTTGGTACACAATTAAGAGCCAAGTTTGGACTTCTGAATTAGATTATTTGACAAACAGTTATCAAAAGGTACATTAAGATCTGCCAAACATGTGGAAACTGTTCATCTCCCTTCTGGATTCTGGAATTCAAGATACTCAAAATGACAATTTGCAGGTTTCTGTCATTCAATGTAAATCATATGTCAAAATAATATTTGCGGACATACATTAACTTTTAAGGGTTACACTTTTCTTGAAGCTCAGTATAAATCACAATTTGGAAATGTGAAAGCATAATTGCAAGGTTATTTTGTTTAATGACTCTCTTTCATTATTGCCTAGGTTCTTGTCTTTGCAGAGGCAGATGACTTTAAGAAACTTCTTGAGCCCCTTCAAGATGTTGCTAGACAGTTCAAGTCAAAGGTACTCAAATGCACTAAATGTTGAAGCTATTGGGTGAACTGGTTAAACCTACTAATGATTTTTCCTTTGTCATTCTCTTGATCCAGATACTGTTTATATATATAGACAATACAGATGAAAACCTTGCTAAGCCGTACTTAACATTATTTGGGCTTGAAGAATCAAATAGTACTGTGGTCAGTTTCCCACATCTGAACTAGATGTTGACTATGAGTTCATGTTCTTTGTCAAATAAGCTTTTAATAAGGCTATAACTAATCAGGTTTTGTATGTGCTCTGAACAGGTGACTGCTTTTGATATCAGCGTCAACTCTAAATATTTATTAGAGTCAGATCCAACACCAAGCAATATCAAAGTAACAATTTCTCATGTTGTGAATTTTCCTTGTGAAGAATATCTACCTAGGCCACTAAAATTCTGAATTGGCTTTTGCAGGAGTTCTGCTCAGGGCTTCTGCATGGTACTCTATCTTCGCACTTCAAATCGCAACCAATACCGGATAACGTGAGTCCCCTCCCTTCCTCCGCAAAGGTTTTTTGGATCAGTGATGATAACTTAATCTTGGAATCCTATCTTAGTTTCTTTTCTATTAGGATACTTTTGGACAATAGTTGCATGATTGGTTCTCTGTGTGTTACATTATCCTTCAGCCAAAAAGTTTATGTTATTCACTGAGCTGGTGAACTGTGAACCAACCAAAACTGTAGTGTGGTGTTTAACATAGCCATTAAGAACAAATATGAAGGCACTTCTTGTAAACTTATAGTTCTATAACATAAAGTATTGTCTAAATCAGCCAATAAATCTGGGAGATGCGTCACATTTTTATGAATTTTTTTAAATATATGCTATATCACATATTTTGATCTCACTTCCTTACATTTGCGAAAATTGCAGACAAATGAAACTGTCCAGAGCATTGTAGGAAAGACATTTGATGACAAGGTTTTGAATAGTCACAAGAATGTTCTACTAGAGGTATGTGTGTTTCTCCCTTCTACTTCTGCTCACTTGATCACATCTAAGCAGAAGTTCCTCATGTTTGAAAAAGAAAAGTATGTAATAATGTTTCTGTTATATGTAATTATGCACTGTTATGTTAGGATTTGTCTTGTTTATCAAACAAAATATGAAATATGAAATATGGAATATCAGTGCTGTTAGTTTGACTGAGCTATGTTATGATTGTATTCTTTGATATTCTTTACTATATGAACATGTACATTGTACATTGATACAGGTACTGCACCTATTTTTCCTGAAAAAGAAGCCATTGCATAGCAGACAAAAAACCACTGAAAATACAAAGAATTGTAGAATTCATCATATTTTTGTACTAGTAATCTCGAGTTCCATTGGTCAAGATACATAGAAGAAACCACTTCTTTAAAACAAAGAATTATGGAATTCAATAATAACCTTGATCTCCATATGATAGCGGTGACGGTGAGCCAATTTTTTGAATATACGTAACTTTATACCCCACCCAACTTCCAGAATTTTTTAAATCTTAATTGGTGTTGAGGTTTCAGAATTTTCTTTAGAGAGACTATTTTGACCATGCCCATGGAATATTTATCATCATTGTGAAACAGGTGTTCACACCATGGTGCATCAACTGCGAGACCACTAGCAAACACGTTGAGAAGTTGGCTAAGCACTTTAAAGGTTTGGATAATCTAGTCTTCGCAAGAATAGATGCTTCTGCAAATGAACATCCAAAACTGCAAGTAAGTGTTATTTTTGGGATCATGTATTGGTTTTCAATATTGGATAAA